ATAAAAGAAATGTTTGAATAAATTAAATAAATTAATTAAAATATTAAATGAAATATTTAGAGAAATTAAATAAATAAAATATTAAATCTTCATAAAAATAAATTTTTAAAGAAATTAAATAAAATGTTAAATATTAAATAAAAGAAATGTTTGAATAAATTAAATAAATTAATTAAAATATTAAATAAAATATTTAAAGAAATTAAATAAATAAAATATTAAATCTTCATAAAAATAAATTTTTAAAGAAATTAAATAAAATGTTAAATATTAAATAAAAGAAATGTTTGAATAAATTGAATAGAGTAAAGAAAATCTTAAATGTTAAAGAAAATAAATATTTAATAAATTAAAGGAGTAAAATAAAATGTTAAATATTAAATAAAAGAAATGTTTGAATAACTTAAATAAATTAATTAAAATATTAAATGAAATATTTAAAGAAATTAAATAAATAAAATATTAAATCTTCATAAAAATAAATTTTTAAAGAAATTAAATAAAATGTTAAATATTAAATAAAAGAAATGTTTGAATAAATTAAATAAAGAAAATCTTAAATGTTAAAGAAAAATAAATATTTAATAAATTAAAGGAGTGAAATAAAATGTTAAATATTAAATAAAAGAAATGTTTGATTAAATTAAATAAATTAATTAAAATATTAAATGAAATATTTTAAGGAATTAAATAAATTAAATAAAATATTAAATAAAATGAATATTCAAGGAAATTAAAGAAGTAAAATCTTAAATAATAAATAAAATAAGTATTTAAAGAAATTAAAGAGATTAAATGAAATATTAAATGTTAAATAAAATAAATATTTAGAGAAATTAAAGAAATTAAATAAAATCTTAAATTTTAAAATATTCTAATTTTCTGCTCTTTATCCTTATTTTTGAATTAAAATAAATTGTATTTTTTTTTATTTTATTTTTCCGGATTTAAGTGAAAATTTTCCCCTTATTTTTATTCTCCTTCTTATTATTTTAAAGTCATTTTATTTTTATTACATTAAAAAAAATTCTATTGTTTTTTCAGCCTTTAAATTAAAATATTGCTCTATTTTTAATTTTTTAATTTTTAATTATTATTTTATAATAATAATAATAATAATTGTAATAAATTACTCTATTTTTAAATAATAAATAATAATAATAAATTTATTTTTAAATAATAATAAATAATAGTAAATTACTCTATTTTTAAATAAAAATAATGAATAATAATAATAATGAATTACTCTATTTTTAAATAATAATAATTTATAATAATAATAAATTACTCTATTTTTAAATAATAATAAATAATAATAATAAATTTATTTTTAAATAATAATAATAAATAGTAATAAATTATCCTATTTTTAAATAATAATAATAAATAATAATGAATTACTCTATTTTTAATAATAAATAAATAATAATAATAATAAATTACTGAATTTTTAAATAATAATGAATAATAATAAATAATAATAATAATATATTTCTCTATTTTTAAATAATAATAATAAATAATAATAAAAAATTACTCTATTTTTAAATAATAATAATAATAAATTACTTTATTTTTAAATAATAATAATAATTTACTCTATTTTTAAAAAATAAAAATAATAATAATAACAATACTAATAATAATAGTAATAAATAATAATAATATCTCTAAAAAATCTGGAATATTCCGATTTTTCCCCCCCGATTCCATGGAATTCCCTCCGGCATGTCCCTGGTCGGCTCCGCCCCCTCCGGCGCTTCCGGGTTTTTCCGGGTTATTTTTAACCGGAATAACGAGGGAAAAAAAAAAACCTGGAATAAAGTCCACGGGAGGAGGGGAAGAATTGCCAAGAAAACCCGGAGC